AGAGCTACGGGATTAGTGGAACGCCTAATCAGGACCATTAAGGAACGACTCCTGGTTATGGCACAAGAACGTCCAAAACCTTCACTAGAATCTGCACTCCTGAAAATAATAAAATGCTTAAGAACAGTAACTCAACAGTCGCTTAACTGCTCTCCTTTCGAAGCACATTTCGGTAGATCCCCAAACACTATCTGGCATAATTTGGTCAAATCACCCTCTTCGAATAACGTTGATTGGAACAAAACTTTGTTATGTATAGATAAAGGCAAAAAACTAATGAGCCGAGAGCGAAGACATGACTGGGATGCTCCTGACGACATAGAAGATGGAGATGTCGATGAAAATTCATCATCCTCGGAGGATATCTCAAATGCCGTGAGATATGTACCAACAAGTGCTGGATCCCCAGTAAAAGTCCTCTCCCGGTCAGAAAAAAGAGATGCCTTGGGCATAAAGGACTCAATTCTGAACAACCCGTCGGGTAAGACCATTGTTTATCGAAAAATCCAAGATAGAATGAAAAATGAACCATACTATAGAGTACTTAAGGACGAAATCGTAAGGGAATCAGATCACACTGTGACTCTAAAAAATGGTAAAATAATACGTAAATCTGATTTAGCCATTAAAAGACAGTGCACCCAGAAGAAACCAAGTCCGAGAAAACGAGACCAATTAGTTAGATTTTATGCGACTAAAGGATTGAGGAAAACTGCAAAACCTCCAAGAAATATCGGATTTAAAAGCTCAAAAACTACCCAAAAGAAACGAAATCTTCAGTGGAAATTTGAAGAGCTTGACATTGCGAGGCGAGACGCGGCCATGAACAGTTCTAGGGAAACTCTTCTTAGAGAAGAAGAAGAACAGAGAAAGAGACTGAGAACACCGATTGGCCTCGAGAGCGACCAAGAACCAAGCCCGTCGGGCAAACCCGAACTTCTTAAAAGTTACCTAAATGAACCCGGAGTGACGATTGAACCACATGAAGAGATGTCAGACGATAATGCTAGTGACTTAATGACACTAAGAGACCTCAAGGAGAAAACACTACTCGAAACTACGAAACGAGACGAACACCTAATGTCCGACCGAACAGATCCTAAGCTAGAATCATCAGACCACGCCGACCAGAAGGTCGAGTTAGATGAGATTCCTTTGATCAACTTGGATTACGGTGACAATGAAAGAGACTCTCAAGCGACCCCACAGCTGATTCTCTTAGACACTAGGGAGGAGGGTAATGAAGCGACCCAAGAAATGCCGGTACCTTCAGAGAATCCCGGAGGAAAGTTCCCTAAATCTACTGGAGAACAAACCACCATGGCGGAGATGGGACCGAAACAAATACTTTCTGACCGCACTACGAAGTCACAGAAATTGTCCGGTACTGCTAAAAGGAAAGCGTCATCCCCAATGAAATCACCACCCTCGAAAAAACTATCAGAAATTTTTACACGTCAAAACACGAGACCTATGCGAACTAGGCAGCCTCCCAAGATGCTAGGTGAGAGAGTATTTACCAGTATAGTCGATCTAACTGAGGAAGACCGCGATGTCCCAGAATTCGGTTCACCTAATTTAGTCTCAGTATGTTCAACGTTGGAAGCAACTACGGTAGAAATGGAAAGCCATCATGTCGACCTAGTAGACCTGACAACATTAACACCACCTTCATCATCACGCCCTACCATAGTTCACTTGCGGGAAGATATCGACGCGTACTCAAGTGACCCAAAGCCCTCAAAAACAGACGATCAAAAGAGCCCAGACAAGAATGTCAAATTTAGCCCTGATGTTTGTTCCACGCGATTTAACCCATTGGGCCTATCTAATGAAATTTCAATTCCTACATTTATACCCATCGTATCTGACCCACACTGGCTGAACACCTCCTCTATCATTTCGGCGATAGAACTCCTTGGACGGCCAATGACGCTGGAGGAGCTAAGAAGATGGACTATAAATAAAGCAGCAAATCGGGAATCTGATTAGACGCAGGAGCTCGAAAACAGATGTCATCAAAAACATTCTTGACCTATCAAAACTCCATCGTAAAACTTCTAGTTTAAGTTGTTAATTTATATACCTGCCAAAAGCGCAACGGCTTTTGGTAGACTCTGAATTGGACACTATCTTTTATGATACGTAACAAATCAATCGCAACCAATTCAATCTTTTAAACCTCTCTTAACTTAGATAGAATCCCCGTCTTTTATTTAGTCTTAAATAAAAGCCTACAATTTTAGTAGGAATCTTAATCATCCACAGTCTTAATCTATTCTTAGTTTAAGTCACTCTTTTACAACACGAGTGGTATCCTAATTTTTTAACAGTGCGTTTAGCAATCAACTGAAAAACAGATGTAACTGTTTTAGCTTTGAAAAACTGATTTAAAAGCTTTATACAGTTAGATGATGCAGTGTGAAAATGAGTATGTTTAACCAGTGATATATTACACTTAATTAATTGATTCTGTTTTTATTTTCAGCTGCAATTTGTTTGTTTTATGTGTTTTCATCATCAAACTCAAAATTATGTGATTATTTCAAGAGACTAGCAGTTTTTTGGCAGAAAAATATTGTTTTTTTTTACCTTTAGTCATATTTTTGTCCTGTGCTGGATTGAAACTTTGAGAATGAGTTTTGAGAATGAAAATTTAAACTTGTAAATAACCGAGAACAATTTTATATGAATATAAAAAAAACCTTTTTTTACTTACACCAAACTGGTCCAGAAAACCATTAAAAAAATTTTGTATGCTCTTAATTCTAAAATAAGCGATTGAACTGTCTACAAAAACTACCACGCCAATTTTCAATTTTTCTATAATATCTGAGCGATGGTGACGTGTCTAAGTCTCAAAATTTAGAAAAAGACGGGAAGAAACTGGCCGCTTGCGAAGTGGATAAGTCTCTCCGTCTAAATTGAAAGGTCGCTGGTTTGACGATCCAATGCAAAAGATGATCCAATCTTGTTGCTTGAGGTTGATGCAACGTTACATGGCCCGGAAAAAGATTCAAGTAGGTGTTTATTAAGGAGATCACTTGCGGGTTTCTGTATAAAATTCAACATGTCATATGTTTTAAAAAGAAATTCGAATAAACAGACCTTATTCTAGTCTAAATATTGAGAAGTTTTTTCTCTATTTTTTTGAAATCCACTTAATGATTGCTTGAGTTTTAATATCAGAGTTTGCTTTAAAAATTTTGCAAGAAAAAACAACCCGAACTATGGGAAAAAGTTTTTGCCTGTTTGAAAAACTCAAGAATAACAACTTTTATACAATCCTAGTTTTTGAAAACGCAGGGAAATGAGACTAAAGAATACTTGGGAAAACCAAAGAGTTTCGGTTCCAGAAAATAAAACCGGTTTAACTTTATCGTTGCTGAATCAGTACGAAAAGTATTGCTCACATTGATTTGTTCCTGGTAAGCAGCAAAAATTGCGTGCTGCGGCCGGCAAATATCATTCTCAAGCACCGATTGTCCCTTAAATTCCATAAAAGATATTTTGATTTTTTTTTAAAATAAGAAAATAATTAAATTTTTTGTTTTTTGAAAATTTTGTCCGCGCCATCAAAATTACAACGCGATGTAAAAACTGACTAGCTCAAAAAAACTTCAAGTTGCTTTCCCATGGTCAAATTGGAGCAAACTCTAAGCCAGATCAAACCGCCGTATTCACAATAATAGCACATAAAAAAATCGCTTTAATTGTGGCAAGTTGCCTCAAAAGTTATTTTTAAAAACCTCTTAGCTTACGAATTTTTTCATACTTAGAATTCAAGGCGTTACTAGCTTTCAGAGTGTAATAGAAGCTCCATTGAAAAATTTACAATTTTAAAAATTGAAGAAAATTAGTTTGCAGAAAAAAAGGCACACCGAAAACAAAGGTTCAATTTTTTGTCCAAAAAACAAAAGAAAACAGTTCAGAGAAATGGTAAGCTCAAGATATTGAGTGTGCCTCTAATCTGTTTTCAATTGCAAAAAATCTAACTGTTTTCAAACGCTGAAAAAAAAATTGAAGTCTTGATCTCTAAGTTAAAAGGTATTTCACCTGTAATCATTTTTAACAAAACTATGGGCTTTTGTGATAGTTAAAAAGTAGTATAATTCGTTCCAGAAAACGTGAGCGGCGAAATTATTCTGGTCAAAATCATTGCATTTTGGTCTGAAGCAGGCGACTTGGTCCCAACAAAACAACACAATATACGAAATATATCAATTGGTACTTCGCATAGCGGGTGGGGTACAAATTACAGAACCAATTGCGAAAAAGTTCAAATTTTCTCCCTTTTTTAGTTCGCTTTATTTTAACTATCAAAAACTGCTCAATAGACATAAAAAAGGTGGTAGCCATATTCAGTATCCATCCAAGTACTTTTTTTGCTTTTCATGCTTTCAAAAATAGAGCAACATAGCAACCCGGTTGACAAAAACTTCGAATCATACAGTTTCTATGAATGAAAAAGTTACAATTGCACAAAATTCCATAGGCACTGAAAATTATATAAATTCTCTGTGATAATATTTTTTGCACACATGAAATTGAAAACGGTATGACTAGCATAGTAGATAGCACAATAACCAAGGATTTCTTCTACCAATAAAACCCACTGGTTAAGAGTCAATTATCCTATATATCAATTGTATTTGGATAATTTTAAGAATTTCACTCAAAATTATAAGTCAAAACCGCATGTGTTTGTATAGGTTTAAATTTTTTACCTCAGAAAACTTAGTAGTTGAAGTTATTTTTTATTGACAGTTTTAAGTTTATCTTGTCTGACTGATTTAAGTTATTCAAGTTTATTAAGGATTATAAATCAATTCATCAAAAATTTAAATCTGGAATCACACAAAAGTTCATAGCTATTTTCGATTCGCTTGCATTAAAAGTTCAGCATCAAAACTTCCCAAAAACGAATCGGCCCTCAAGGCTTTACTTTTTTGCTAAAATTCCATGCTTCAGCCAATAAGTTTGATATCAATTATGTTCACCTGGTATGTCTGTGATGTACACAAACCCTTCGTTTCGGAGTCCGTTCATCAGTTGTTCAGTCTCAAATCCGAAGTCTTTGTCTGAATTCTTGATGTTCACTTGACGAAACTCAACTATTGGCTGGACAGACATTTTTCTGGCTACGAACTTGAAAACTAAACATAATCAATAACTAAACATAGTTAATAACTAAGCCACTGGAAATACTTTTTATCGACAACACTAAAATTGTTGATTTAATTCTCAGAAAAACAAAATCAATTTTACTTAACTGAAAATTGAAATTGATTTGTAGAAGCCCTTGCAATTTTACCAAAAACTTAATACTGAATTTGTTTTTTAAAAAGGACTTAGGAAAATTAATAACACTAAACCTGTTTCAATTCACTGCAAATTTATGAAGCCGTTTTTTTCTGGAGATTGTTCCTGGCCAAAAAAAAATGCTCGGCTGTATGATAGAAATCTTTCTCAGCAGATAAACGGTCGCGCCCAGTGTAACCAGAAAATGTTTAAATTCCGAATTTCAAAACAATTGATATAACTTCCTTATCTTGATCAAACAAAAGAGTTTGATAGAAATTTAAATCGACTGATTGGACTTGAAGCTTAACATTTTTGAGCTTAATTTAGTTTAATTGCATGCAAAGGGGTGTTTCAATGCCATCGGTCAAGTTTTGACCTTTTTATCGTGCTGAAAAACTAACAAAGTGAGAAAGATTTATGTCGTGGAAGGAACTTTGTCATAGTTATAAATGGACTATTAAAAATATAATACGGTGATAATTTAAGTTATCCGGACAAAGCGAACAAATTGTGAAGCTTCAAAATCTTTTTTCTCAAATTGGGTCAAAAAAAGGGAGATTAGACTAAAAATGACGAGAAAAAAAATTGTTTAGAATTGTGCCACAATTATTATGGGGTAACTTTTTCAAAAATTGCAACCAACATTTTGTCCCAAAAATGGGTTATTTTAGCTTTTCTATTGAGTTTACTGATGAGAAAGTTTTATCATAGACGCCTCTTACACTGTCCAACAAAATTCTAGAAATATAAAACTTATAAAAATTTACGCATAACGTTCAAATTTTTGGAGATTTTATTTTATAAAATTTTATTGTGCTATGTTAAAGGCTTATTTTGATATAAATTTCTCCAAATAAGTGCATCAATCAATTCTGGTGAAATTCTAAACAACTTTGATTCTGTTCATTTTTTGCCTAATCTTAACGCAATTTAAGAAAAATGCGTTCGAATTTTCTGATATTGCTTGTTGTGTCCAGTTAATTTAAATCAGCACTCTAGAATTTTATACTGAAAAAACGTAAGCTTTGCAATTATTTGGGACTGATAGGCTGTTTATTACATATCAAATGCAAACTAGGTTGTTGTTCTAGTAGTAGATTGAACAAAACTTGTATAATATCTGTGTAAAATTTCAATAACATCTGCAAAACATCTGTATGAATACGCACTTAATCGAAGTTGTGGGCAATCAAATTTGTCGTCCATGCAGTTCTAATCCATTTGACCCATTTTAGTCAAATTAATTAAAATATTGAATAATCGTTGAACATGGTAGTTGAAAAAATATTGAAGATGGCAGTTGATTTTTTTGAAAAAGATTTGTTCATTCCCACAGCTAAAAACCACTGAAGAACGCAGTTTTTCTGGCATAAAAAATAAATGGAAAGCCGTCGGTAGTTAAAAGGTTTGGGGAACTAAATTTGCCTTTAAACGGTAAAATATAAAAACACTTTGTTTTATGTTTATTCTTGATTTCAGAGGATGAGTGTATTTCCTTCAAGATTGTATCCTAAAAATTAAGTTTTGGTTGGAAAAAAAGATCTTTGTCTGGGGCTGATTTCAAGTTTTCTTGCCAAAGGATCAGGTGTTTTTATCAAGTATTTTGAAGATTTCATTTTATGTTTCCGTTTGCATGAAGTCACCATGAATATATGTGATTACGTTTCTGCTTAAGTATTGAGGTTGTGAAAATTTTACTCTTGAATGCTGAAATTGTTACTTGTCCAGTCTATGTTCGGTAGAATGCTCTCTTGAGTTCGCAATGTTGGTTTCCAATTACGAATTGTGTTAAATGTCGGGTTATTGTACTCTTTGCATATACATTCAATTCTATATAAAAGAAATGAATTCAGATATTATTGAATTCTGTTATGATATTTTGAAAAATTAAAAAGGAACTTTATATTCACAACAATGAACTAGTTACAAATTTTTTCATTTTTCACCTCAGATACATTTCAAAAATCATTTGAGTTTTTTTTGGCCTTACGTTTTGTTCCCAACTACACTCTGAAATCATGGAGTTGATTGTGACAATGAAGATTTCAGAGCTGCGGCGGTCGTCTCTTTTGGGTCGACTTAATATGCGTTTTTCCCCATGCTATATTGGTTGACTGAAAAATTCTATCGATTAAGATCAATTCGACATTTGTACGGGTCGACATATGGGTCAAATAGATCATTTTTAATCAAATGGCTCATCTCACAAAAGTTTCATCGAGATCCTCCTTAAATTGTTAAAGAGTTCTCCAGATAGGTGAAATATAGTTCAACCAAATAAATCTAAAACTCGAATTTTTTTGCTTGCTTTTATTGTCATGACCTAAACTTTTCTTTTTATGTTCCGACCAAAGTGATAGAGCCAGATGGCATTATGAGACCAAAATTATGTATAGTCGCGCCCATGGCCTATGGTCGAACTGGGTCGAAGCATAAAGTCGAACTTGAACTTTTGCCTGATTTTTTGCTTGCAATCTGTAAACGGATGCTGTCATGACTTAAACTTTTCTTTTTATGTTCCGACCAAAGTGATAGAGCCAGATGGCATTATGAGACCAAAATTATGTATAGTCGCGCAGGGCCTACGGTCGAAGTGAGTCGAAACATAAAGTCGAACTGGGTCGAAGCATAAAGTCGAACTTGAACTTTTGTCTGATTTTTTGCTTGCAAACTGTAAACGGATGCTTTTTGCAAAAAAAAGCATCCGGTTGGACCAACGGTTGGACCACCATATTTGTGGTAACAAAATTGTCCCATCAGAAACAAAAAGCTAGAAAACGGACACCGCTTGAAACAAAAAGCCGAAAGCGGACATTGTTTGACTCACAAAGTCGAAATCGAAAGCCTCAGCCGGGGTGGTCCCAGTGTGAAATATAAACAAGTTTTATGCGTCAACGATAAAACATCGTTATCCGAGAAACTGAAAGCTAGGAAACATTCAAATCAAACGAAAATGTCAAAACATACATCAATTCGGTCGATTGCGATCGAAATATTTTTAACCTTGGTCAGAATGGTCTAACCGAAAATACCGTAGACGAACTTGGTCGAAACATGTATGATATGGTCGAACTTGGTCAAAACTTAGAAAATGTTGGTTGCGTCAGTCAAACATATCTGCCTCGGTCAAACTTGGTGGAAACATAGACGTTTTTGGTCGCACTGGTTGATGAAATATATCTGAATTAGTTGAAATTTGTCAAAACAAAAGTCTTTTGCTTGCACCAGTCAAAATGTAGGCATTTTGGTCACGCAGGTTAAAACTTAAAGCCAAAACCTCGGCCGGGTGTTGCTTTGTTTTGTTGTGTTAGAAGCAGTTAGTGATAATAAAAGGTTGAGTTTTTTTGAGCTGCAGGAAACCATAATTAATTTAAAAGAATGTGGGCAGTTTTTGTTTTGTGTGTAAAATGTTGTTTTGAAGTGCAATAAAAGAAATCAAACTGACATCAAATGGTATTCAGTGTATCAAAACATATCAATCCAGAAAAAAGATGGAAAACTAAACATCGCTTCTTTTAATTTCTTGAGTGGTTGTGATATGCGTTGCGATATCAAATTGAAAACAAGTTGGAATTCAATACTGTATTCTGAATATTGAATTTAGATTTTCTCTTTTCTTTGTTTTCTTATGTACTGAGAGATAGATCATTGTTAAGTACTCTGATCTCTCACTTGGTCTCAGTGTCATCACTTATGTATGACCTTGAGCGTACCATAAAATAATGATTTAACACCAGAGGTTGGCTGTACATACGTATAATAAATACTGCTACTGCAGTAGCGGTATGACACACCCCCCTCGGTGAAAGAAATAAATTATACAACATCAGTAGGATAATTTATTTAAAAGAGTTCAATTGACTCAGTTCTGAAGAAAGTCTTTTAGATGGATTATGTAAATTTCAGTTTTCCTCCAGCTCAATTTCCCAACTCGGGTTCCAATCTACTCCTTCATCTAAAGTAGCATATCCGAATTTCCGCATAAATAAATGTCTTTCGAGTCGTCGCACTTTTGACTCCAAGGGTCTGTCGTCCCGATCTTTGAAATCTCTCAGTTGGTTTCTGTATTCTTTAAGTGCCTCCTTTAAAAGACCTCTTCCTGTAAGATTTTCGGATATTTCTTTGATTGAATGTTTTATCGGATCTCCGAATCGTTTGGGTTCTTTGTTCTTTGTTTGTCTAGAACTTCGTCGAACACCTGACTCTTCCGCACTTGATTCGTCCGAGAATCCTTGTGGTGGTTCGAAGTTTGTATCCAATTCTGAGCCTTTTTGAGGATTTTCTCTAAGTTCATCCGCAACTCGCTGCACCCCTCTTTTTAACAGTTGGTCCGCGTACTTCTCCCAGTCAGACGGTGCCAAATTTCTATTGTGAAACGTCTCCACTATATCTTCCAAAGGGGTGTGCGCGTCAATGCCCTTCAGTTTCGGACGCTGTTTGGTTTTCGGCGTAGAGCTCGACTGGATTTTGGTATCTGCTGTGACCGAATCCGGCTTAGATATTGCTTGCTCTTGTTCCGAGTTGACTGCAGTCGCATTTTGGTTTGCGTTGGTTCCCTGTTGTTGCTTGCTTCGGCTTTTCTTCTCTTTTCCGCTCCTTTCCGGCTTATTCGTGTTTGTTTCCTCTGCTGATTTTGGTCCCGCCAGGTTTGGTTTAGCTCTTTTTATTGCAAGATTCAGTCCTCCCCCGGCCTCTGTGTCCTTAGAAGTGACTATTGTTTGGCTCTTCTGAAAGCGCTCTGTTGGGTTCATTTCATTTGCAATTTCCATTTCTCCTTGGAGTTCATCCTCCGATTCCAGTTCCTCTAGTAGTTCTGGAGAACTGACTCGCTTGAACTTTCTTGTAGGTTCCGACGATGGACTTTTACTTGTGCTTCTCTGTTTTTCTTGTATAAGTACGGTTTTTGATTGAGCTATGTCCGATTTTCTATAGATCGAACCGGCCGATGTCTTAATTGTTGAATCCGTTTCTGAAGCTATTTTCCCCTTTAGTGGTCTGGTTAGGGCTTGTCCGCTTTTCCTTAGAGGGACCTTTCTAAGTATTGTCTTGGGTGGTGACTTGAATTGGTTTTCTACTTTATCTTCCACGAATCCTTTTTCCCAAGAGTAAATCATTTCTTTTCGAAGATCGGGATTGAGTTGACCTGTCTCGTCCACTAGTTTCCTGATGTCATTTTTAGCTGCATCCCTTCTTTCGTAGTTCCATCGGGCATTTGCCTCCAACAATTCCTTTAGGGCTTTGGCTCTTTCTTTGTCTCTGTCCG